CAATGTCTACTTACATCTCGAAACTATGCCGAAATGCCGAACAGGTGGAAAGCTCGGACACAGACGCCAGCGGCCAGCATACCTACCGACATCCCCTGCGACTAAATTTCAGAACGTGAAAGGTCACTTTTTAAACCTGTAGCAGACGATTTCGTTGATACACCCGTAGCAGACGAAATACTCGGCGAGCGCGGGCGGCGCGGACGGCCAGCGGCGCAGCGGAGCGATACCAAGTGCAGGCGAGATCGCGTGACCAATTGCCGGCGTGTGATTGGCTCCGGCCACACGTAGCTTTGGCTGCGTTCGGACGGAAGTTGAAACGAAGTATAGTATTCACGTGAAGCGTTAAGGTGAACTATTTATTTCGACGAAAAAAACTGCCGCAGCGTAGATTGCTGCATGGAGCTGACCGCATGCCTTATTACGGCCGCCTCCACTGTCTCCAAGCAGTCCACCAGCGCCAGATCACTACCGTCGATTGCACTGCAGTAGCGGCGTAAAAGTGAGACCGTCTTCCCGACAATGTTGTAACAGGCTTTGAAGCGTTGCAGCCACCCGCTACTTGCGGCGACGTTTTGTGCTTGGTGGATGAACGCGAAGTCCTTTGCTTTCTGTTGAAGCATCGGCCTGACGCTGGAATGTTCCGAGCCCTTGCGTCCATAAACCACTTGTGAAGTGATCTTTCCACCTTTTCGAAGGCCGGTGTCCGAACACGGCGTGCGCTGGAGTGCTTGCTTTGTTCAGCCTTCGGTTTGATGTCACTTTTCGTCTTCAGCAGCGTGCTCAAAGTGCTTCGCAGTATGTTGTACGCTTCGGCAATGCTGGACTTCTTTTCTCCTTTTTCAACGCGGTGGATGATTTCAAGCTTTGTCGTGAACGTCAGCGACGTACGGTTTTTTACGATTGTTGCCATCGCCACATGCGGTTGACGCAACGTCGGAGGAACGAACCCGGAGCCACGAAACTGCACATGCCCGAATGTCGCCGAATCTGGATGGCGTTCCCGGCACCACATGCATAAAGCTTTATGCGGGCATGCGCTTGAATAAAAGTCGCAAACGCCTGCTGCGCCACCGCTATCCTACGATGTGTTGCGGGAAAGCCCGTGTTCCAAAACTTACTCGATCTAACTCTAGGGTAAAGGTGGTTGTCGAAAACCTGCCCGCGTCCAGCGTTTCTCTATTTTTGATGTCGCGTGACATAATCCGCCAGGGTAACTCGTATCCATTCGAGTAGGTTTGGAACGCAACCTCGGTGTGTCGCGCTCCTGTACGCTATGCGCCGTTTAGTTGCTGCACTCGGAGTAGGAGGAGTAAAAGAGCACCGACTTAACGCGCCCACTGCCACAGATACGGTACGCCGCCAACGACGGTTTGGCGGGATGGCGGATGGCTGCGAGTCGTGGCAGCTGCTGGCGGCAGCTGCCACGACTCACTCGCTGTCGCGGAAGCGCAACGAGAAGGCACGTGATCTGTACCGAGTCCTCCCAAAATTCTGTGCCGTCGTGGCGCTGTACGCTTTGCAACAGGTCTATTAACCACTAGTTTTGGTTTCAATTCACAGTACTATCAGTACTATGTCACGACCCACTGCTCGCATTTTCAATTTTGGAACTTCGAAGATATGTACAATAGTGTAGACGTTGCCGAGCAATAAAAGAAAAAGGCCTCGGTGCCTTTTTTTCTGTTCCAGATTTGCTGTTAAAATGATACAAGTCGCAAATACAAGTAGACATGTTACGGCTCACGGTACCCATCCCCGACATGTTGGTGCAAATTTGTCCCAATCCAAAAGCCCCCAGTTACCTGGCACGTCGTTCCAGCAGGCGTGATTGTCATTGCCTTCAGTGCCTCGCACCATTGCTTCAAACATTGCAGCCGGAGGCAGCGACAGCACTGGCCGGTCTCTTGCCCTGTCGCTGTCGCAGAGATTTGTCACCACTGTCTCCATGTGGTCTGCCGCCGCTCCCACAAGAATGAGTGAGGGGCTCATCGGCCGGCTTGTTCGTGGCCCACCTCCTGTGACAGAAACCAAAGAATTTGAAGCTCATTTTGGAGAGGGAACAATGTATGGGACGAACAATTCAAAGAGCACACTGAATTTTCTAAACGCCTCCGTGCGAGATAAAAACAATTGTTAAGGGGACTAAAGCGAACCTAACGAAGAGAAAATCTAGCACAACCCAGTAGAGGCCCACCTGGAACCTTCTTATGGGCAATTGAATGCTGGGCACTTTGTTAGAATAGGCTTCCGGCAAGATGCGGGGACCTCATTTGTTTTCAGTGACGATTTAAAAAAAAAAAAAAATGTCAGTAACGCCAAATGTTCTACAAAAAAATATCTCCAGAAAAAAGCAAAGAAGTAGGCCCACTTTGGATCGAACCTGGATCGGCTGCATGCGTATGAAGCGAACTTTGCTACGCTACAGCTTTGAACAACTCGTTTTGAAAATTCGTTATATACGAGACCCGGAAAGGAGCACGACGTCGTGCACATAGCATAGTTCTGGTCGAAAGGACTTCTCTCCGATGTTTACTTTTTACACATCGGGAACGGTTTACCAAATATGCAAATTGTCGACTTACCCGTGGCGTGGATGTCTCTCGTCTCCTCGGACTTGGTTTTTTTGTATCTGGATTTTTCGTTCTCCCAACGCTTCTTGAGTTGCTTAGGGCTTCGTGGGCGGACGTTTGGCTGGCTGTTATACTCGGTGCTGAGTTTCTCCCAAGCTTTAAGTTTAGCCTCCTTCGAGTAGTTATTTGTCTTCTTGTTTTCAAGAACTCGCGCATGTTTCGTTACAAGCGCTTGGAGGAGCGCCTTCTCCTCCGCAGTATAAATAAAACGAGCCCCTGCCCGCTCTTCGGTATCGGCCATTTCCGAGTCGTTGCCGTTGGGGTCCTCCATGATTTGTCGTGCGAGGCGGCGAGGCGACGAAGCAGGGCTGCACGGTAGACAAAGGGCGGCGAAAGCAAGAAAAAACGAGACGAAATCGACAAACCGTGAGATAGACGACTGTCGACGAGAGAACGACAAGACGCAGCTAGCGAATGCGCTTGTTGCCAGACAAGGTAACGACTTTGTCCGTTTTGCCGCTCAAACACGTCTAAACTTTACGCTGCCTTAATAAAACTTCGTAGTTCACTAAATCGATGTTTGTATGGTACACGTTTTTAGATAACACGAACGAATATATTTACTTTTCACGTAAAAATGGTGTTTTAAATAAAACCTTTGGCTATAATCTCGCTCCCAGACGTCCTCAAGCTTGTTGGAGTGGAGAACGGAATCTCGAGTTCGAGTGAGTGCCGATTCGCGTCTGTGAATACCAATGGCACTTCGAGTGGAGTCGCGCGTCCGTACTCCACTCAAGTCGAGTCGAGTTTGGAGTCGAGTAGGGGAATGTTTATGAATACGGCGGTTAGTCTGCCTCAACGGGTGTCTTGTCGCCCAGTTGTACATGAGATATTTAGCCAGTGCAGTATAACCGCGAGCCTGCGGTCTTTAACGTGTATCACGCAGCAGGGATACAGGACCGCATGTCGGTACGGTGCTCATCCAGATCAAAGCGGGCAGGGGTGGGGATTGAACCCTGGATCCCTAGGTAGAACTGGCCTGATAAAAAACATTCTGTGGTAAAAACGAAGCATGGATGGCGAACCCTGAGGTCAACCGGGGTTCGGGGCTTCGTGTCTGCTTGAGGAGGCGGGTGGGTTTTGTTGACCGGTGCTTGGCTCGGTTTCTAGAAAGACTAACTCCCGTGCGTGGAGGCGTGGAATGTGCACGCTATAAGTGTAACCATATAAACTGCAAGCAGCGGAAAAGACGTAAGGGGGCGGAGGTTGCCAAACAAAGGACCTTGGGAATGTTTCCCCGCATACTCCTAGCGCTCCCCCCGTTAACTGGCAATATAAAGGGAATATTTTTGGGCGCCGAATTATTACATACGCGGTAATCTCGTGAACAAACCCATCTGTTTTCTGTTAATGAACGCCGCGTGGAGAATTGGTCGTTCTGTTCCCCGTGGAAGCCTTAGAAGATCAAAAGGTCCTTGACCTTTAGAGAATACTTAAACGTTCGATCAGAAATAAACTGAAAAGACGTGAAAAATGAGTATGCTGCCCATCATTGTTCATTTCTTGCGTTTCAGAGGTACTGGATTATCTTTTGGCGGTTGGAGCAAAGACGCTAATGATGCGAAACTGTAACCTGGGGGAGAGGTATCTAATTGTGTGTATTTTACAGATGTGGTAACAGGCTTCACGAGCCTTAATTGGTACTAAAAGAAAGAGAGGAATTTTTGGGTGGAAGGAGGGAAAGGGGGGGGCACCAGGTAAGTTAAAAATTCGATTTTTTCCTTTATTTTTACATACTCTCGTCTGAGGGACTAATATACCTCAAATATATTTTTTATCTGCAATGTTTAGGTTTTGCTGGAAAAATTGAACCTGCCTTTTGGTAAAACGGCCAGTTTAGAACACACGGCTCAAGAACCGCCAATAACGCTTAATTTCAGAGAGTCGCTTTCTAGAATGAAAACCTAACACAACAAAAGATCGGCCCAAAAACCGATGGCTACGCGGCCGCCAATTGAAAAAAAAGCTACGAGAGCCATGATCGACGAGTGCAAAAGGGTCCGTCGAGCGCATGACCACGAGCATTGGCGAATCGTAGCACGTACCCTCTAACTTCTACAAGAGCTCTTTATATATCCGCTTCAATTCGCGAGTGGACGGTGCAGAACTCGCCGCCACAGCTCCGCAATTCTTTGCCCACTTGGTCGATTTGGCGGAGGTCGCCCAAGAAGCACCCGAACCGCCTGTCGCCTGCCGCCAGCGTCCAAAGAGAGCGCAGACACCGCCGCTGCCGCCGTGTCAATCAGACCGTCGAGCCCCGAGCAACGGACCCCGCTGGATCCGCAGTTCGGCTCTCGGCCACGCGCCGTGGCCAGGGGCGCTGCGAGCGGCGCCGGCGAAACGCCAAAACTCGAGCAGCGGCGGACCCCGAGCGAGCGCGAGGAGAGCGCGCGGGAGAGCTCCGGATCTTTAAAGTCGGGCCTTTCGGCTCCACGCGTGGGTCCCGTCAGTCGGGCGTCCGCCGCAACCGAGGATACTAGTGCCGCCAGAGTCGCAGCAGCAGCGGCAGCAGCCAGAGCGGCATCCGACGCGATGCGGTCAGCTCGCCTCGCTGGACATGCGGCACGTTGCTGGTGGACGCTACTGGTGTGCTGCGCCTGCGGGCTCAACTGTGAGTAGGGGAAGCCCAACTCCGTTCGGTTCCGCGCGCCGGTTCGCCAGGCTCGGGGTGTTTTCTTTGTTCTGTTTTTTTTCCCCGCTTAGAGGTGTTCCGCTTCTTGGAAGACAGGGCGCGACGGATGAAGCTATGATCTTGTAATGATGCGGTGCTTGATTAACTACTAATTGATCGGTCGATTATGTGCGCTAGACGTGAAATTAAAGAAGACACTCGCCGTTAATGGGATGGTAGGTGTATTTTTGAACGCTTGGTGCGAGGGTGAGCGAGACAGTGTTTTGTAATGCAGTCGAACTACGATGAATGCGGAGAGCCATGGGTTGTCAGAAGTGACGCGTGTCCTTGTTTTGAAATTCTATTGGATATATACGTTAATAAATAGAAAAACCCGTCATTTATGCACATTCGTTTATTGGCTTACAGTGCCGCCGACAAATCTCACTTTAAATGAAGTTCTTTTTTTTTTTGCTTAAGTTGTTCTTCGTCTACTCTTGATTTTGAAATGTATACCAGGGACCAGGTATTTTTTTTTTTCAAACAATATTTGGTTGAATAGAAAGAAAAGCAAACGGCTTTCCGTTTTTATTCTTTTTCTCTTATAGAAAATTTCAGTAGACTGCGTGCAATATCATAACGGTTATGTGCGCATTTGAGTGCACCAGTACCGAATTTTGGTCTTTCGAGTCACTAATAAAATGGGGAAGCTATGACAGAGTGAATTTTAAATCTAAAAATTAACTTATGTTGGCATTAAAAAAAAAAGAAAAAACATCCAAGAGAGCACTGCTGGCACTATTTAGGAGAAAGCACGTACTAGCGCTTGCAACTATTCCATCGATTATTTCTATTAGACAGCATAACTCTTTGCGACACTAAAGTTTTCTTTACGCTAACTGCGGGCTGTCACGCCAGTTTCGGCCAGCAGCCGATTGACTTTGTTTATTTCCTTCGAAAGATTGTAACGGTGCTTATAGATTCAGGATGTTTTTTTGCGGGGGCTTCTAAAATTATACTCTTGTTCGTCAGCGTGGATGATTTGGTTTTTGGCTCGCCTACCGTTGCGTTTTGCTGGAGCGTTACGTGATAACAGATATTTTGTTTAAGCTTTAGCTTAAATGCAAGCGCCTGTAAATGTTCGCGTCAGGGCTGATAATTGTTTTTTTTTTTTTTTTTTTTTGCATTTGACGTTTAATTGTTGAACGAGTGATTTTTCGGATGAAACGTCGACAACGGAAAGCCACGAAGATTTTTTTTTCTTTCACAAATGTGTTGGAGTAGCAACCGATTGGAGCCTGCTATAATCGCAGTCAACTGAAGAAACGCAAAGCGCGGCTTAACGTTTTAATTTTTTCTTTTGCTTTGTAATTTGTTTTTTGGACGTTTTTCCTGGCTTATACTGCAATTTAATTGCCTGCGGAGTATTACGAAGATACCCAGAAGTTGTTACGCCTTGTGTTTCTTGAAGAAACACAAGGCGTAACGGAGTCGCGTAAATTTGTAATAAAGCAAAAAAAAAAAAATAGAAAAAACTCAACTACTTAAAACCGAAACACGAGCACGGAGGCTGATGGCCAAAAATCACGTGGTTACAGTCGACCGCGTCTTTTTTTTTTTTTTCCGCTTCTCCGCCGTGTGATGCAGAAGACGAAGTTCCGTGCACCGTTTGCAGAGAAATTGTTTCGCACTTATATCCCTTCCGCTCGATGTTCGGCGCTTGAAGATCGATTGGCCGGTACTACGAACGGCACAGTTCCGGGGTAGCGACCCCATGGCCATCGCAACGTTAATTTGTCGTTCGCCACCATCGCGTCGTCCAGCCCGCGGTACGTCGCCGTACCGAGAGTGACACGTATATGTACTTCCTGTGATCTTTACAGCATATTTTTAGATCAACGCTATTGCATTTTTTTTCGTTTTTTTAACCACAAAAATGGGGTTTATATTTTTTTCTATATTTAGTTTGGGATATCTGCCTTGATAACCCACGACTTTGAAAAAAATTGGGACACATAGAGTTGGTACGCCACGTGACTATAGAAAAAAGAGGTGGTGCGATTGAAACCGGCCAATTCTCCACCGGCCGTTTTCGGGCGAAAAAAAAAATAATAATTTCGAGCCGCACATTATATTCTGTGTAGTTGGACTCTTATAGGTAATGTTCAAATAAAAACTACGGCGAGCATAATACCCTGTCAGTGTTTCTTTAAGCTGTCAGTAAATTTAGCCTAATTACTTGTGCTCTGTTCGCTCATTTTTTTTTGTCCCAATGAGGCATGATCGTGCAGTATAATAAAAATAATCAAAGAAGTAGTAAGTTCTGAAATGGGCAGCAGAACGGAGCTTTAAAGGAAGTAATGTTGTGCGTAAGCACCTAAAGCCTTTTGAACTTGTTTTTTGGGCGATAGCCTGAAAACAAAAATTATAGTTGGGTCTGTCGTTCTTGAAAAGCTTGTGCCAATGTGTTTTATTTCGTATAAGCATGAACAAGTCTGACGTGAAACATGCGATATGAATAGTCTTGTCGGAAAGTATTTGCGCAGAAACGGACAGGACAACGCGTTAAAAAACCACGTCACAGCACGGTAGCACCTGTAGAGGGGAAAAGCGGGACTTCGTACAGGAGACAACGCGCTGTATTTTTAAAGCAAATTTTGGCTTAGTGTCATAATACTCTTTAGTTTTATTGGTGACTACTTCGGCTTACAAGTTTCAGGTGTAACCTATTGTTTTGTTTCGACTTGTCCTTCAATTAGTGACTGCTTACGTTGGCCGTAATTATGTCAGTATTGCACAAAAAAAAAAAAAAAGTTGCATCCGATCGTGCGTTTTTTGTTTGAAGTGTTCCCACGAATTAGCCAAGGTGAAACAAGGGGAAAATAAGAGGACGGTATTGTACTTACTTTTTTAAAACATCGCTTTGTTCAACGTAACCTGCAAAATGATCCACGGCAAATAAAGCAACCCGCGTACCTTGCGTACGGATGGTCTATTCTAGATTATGCCTGCAAACTGTACAACTTTTATTAGAAAAAATAAATCACATTGATGTTTTTTTTTAAATGTACAGAATTGTGCTGCTCGCTTTGTCCTGGGTCAGTAAGACCAATTTTCAAGCGTCACTAATACGGAAAAAAAAAAGAAAAACTTACTAAGTTGGTGTCCCTTTTAGTATTGGCGCAAGAACTTATATTTGCAATTTTATGTAGTATTTATTATAAAAACACGCGCACTAACAATTCATCTTAACTTTTACTACCGAATTACCTTTCTCATCGCAAAGTTTATACGCAAAAATCCGTGACTATAAAACTAATACTGAGCTCTGTAAACTTTTTTGTTTGTTAAAAAGTTAAGGACAGAAATTTGCTAGTTGAAGTTACGGTTGGTGAAACAACACAGAAATGTTTATTTTTATTTTTATTTTGTTCATGCGGAAATGCCATACCGGCACTGCATGAACCAATTGAATACAGAATAAAGACATATCATTCAAAATATGGTGTAGTCGCTTCACGATGCCGTTGTATACGCGGTTACTCACTCTCATGTCTGACTTTGAGCTTAGAGTTACCTTCTCGATCTTTCAAGTTCAGCGGTACTATTTTATAGCATTAGACACAGCACATCTCAGAAAGTATCAACGCCGAATAACACGAACAAAACAGAAGCCTACGCGCGATTGAGGAAGAAAATCCCATACCAGGGTTGGCGCGCAGGCACCGTTTTCTTTTTTCGTCGTCCCTGTTTGCAACTAGCTTTTTGTGCACGAATGTCCGAATGACTGGCTCCAAGCCAACGTACGAAATGCTCGCATTTCGTATGCGTATTGATTGAGTAATGACACTCATGTCGCCCTCCCCTTTTCTTCTCCGACTTCTCCTATAGTTTGTTGTTTGTTTCTCTTCGGATTCGTAGACACAGCTTCGAAAATACCATCGCGCCCGAAAAGGCGAAGAACACGCAATAGAACTACAAAGAAGAGAAGCAATAAAACTGGAGTAAACTTTGTTCGGAGCAGTTTTTGTACGCAGCAAAGCGGGAAAGACAAAAAGGTTGGTTGCCCTCTCAGCAGCTTCCGCAACCCGACGAGAAAGAGAGGGGGAGAGAGAGAGATAAACATATAGAAAAAAAGGAAAACCAGATCTGCACTCCGCGTGGGGATCTCCTGATGTTTTTCTTTCCTGCTCTCTGTGCATCACTTCGTATTTTCTTGTTTCTCTGACGCGGCAACCAACGTGCTGCTGAGCGCGACGGTCTCGTTCTTTAGGTTATGAGTACTTCGGGGAAAGTTAATTAACCTTGGGCCGCTTGCGGCGAACAATTTCTATTCGAGCACTTTCTCGCTGAGCTATATATGCGTAACGGTCTTTGTAATTAGCAACCCGTTCGCTAATTTCTATTATCTTTCGTTTTTGTTCTTGTTGTTTTATACTTCGGCTCATCACCGGGAAAAGTTTGAGGGTGACGATAACGCGTAAAGAGACCAAAACTAAAACGCATCAACAACAAAAACTTTTTTTTTTTTAACGTAGTGCCGTTGCTTTACGGAGAGGCTTTCAATGTCGACAGGAGTTGCTGCTGCTCTTTGTTTTGCAGGAAGTCTTTTATCGTTTTATTGTTTTTTTTTTGTCTCTTTTTTGGTGTGACCGAAAGTCATAATTGCATGGTGAGCTCTTGATAGCATCGGGGACTGTACAGAGAAGAGGTAATTATGTGCTGATCTATACGCATATGTTCGCAATCGCGATTGTGCCAAGCACTCCTAAACTGGGGAAAAATATTTTTTGATGTGTGCTTTAATGTAAATTTCGGACAAAATGTAACAAAATGAAGGATATGATATAAATGGGTTAAGCCTGAATCACGCAATAACCTCTCCACGCTTCTTAAAATAAAGAATTGCCAAGTGTGTACGCACAATAACCTCTCCACGCGTCTGATAAAAAGCGCAAGCGTGTGTACGCGCTGTATAAGCAGAACAGCTCAGCACCAAA